TTGAGTCATATCAAAATAGCCATTAGGACAAAATATAATCACAAACTGCTCCAACGTAAAGATAGAGGCCGTTAAAGTGAAAAGTAGGTTGTAAAACGATGACTCATCAGTCTTTAGCTACCGACTATTTCCTATTAGAGAACATTTTCTGTTTAAAGAAAATAAGAAAAGAACAAATTTTTTTTATTTTCATCAAATATTGATTGTTTATATACGCAAGAGAGTGCTCACTGCAGATTTATTTCGTAATCTACCAACTTCACGAATTTAAATTACATTAAGTAGAGAAGATCCACTTCCGTTTTTTATACGAATTTAAAGTGCACGAGTTGTATACAATACTGAACTGTGTTTTTCGAAAAGATCCGTTTTAGTTTTTGAAAGAAATGAGTATGAATATCACTGATTATCGTTGAAAAAATAGGATTTTGCAATGATCACCAAAAAGCAATGTCGTTCAGAAATATATTTTCGTGCAAAATTTTGACTAAGTGACCGTGATGTATATATGGGTAGTAATAATCTCGTCAATGGGCATAGTAATAAACTACTCAACAAATACTAATCATGTTCTCAAAAAATCAATCTCAGATTCAAAATCAGATCACTTGGTCAAAATTTGCACGAAAATTTATTTCTGAACGACATTGCGTTTTGCTGATCCTTGCAAAATCCTATTTTTTAAACGATAATCAGTGATATTCATACTCATTTCTTTCAAAAACTAAAACGGATCTTTTCGAAAAACACAGTTCAGTACTGTGCACTTTAAATGCAACTCGTTGCAACTCGTGCACTTTAAATTCGTAATGGCAACTGGAAGAAGTTCGTTTAAAAACATGATAAATAAAAGAAAATTCTGTTTTGACAAAGTTGAACAGTGATATCCATAGCCTATATCTCAAAAATTGGATGTCTCCTATTCTAGACAAATAGCTCGTCATGATGTCGAACATTTTTTCTTCCGCTTGACCTAAAAAGTAAGAATAGACATTCTCTGATTAATTTTATTTTACTTCTTAAAACTGGCAGATTAGCGACTAATATTGATACCAAGTACTATCTACCCTGATGAAACTTTTAGAAAATACTTAACCAGTAGTTGTTATTTATTGCCCAAAGTCTCAGCGCAATCCGTCTGGCGCAAAAAAAGTCGCTTTTTCAAACTCTCTCATAATGCATATCTTCGATAATTAATATTGATTGTAATCATGCAAAATTAATGTTATGAAAACTTATGGCGATGAAATCTAAAGGTGAACTATTGTTAATACGGTTTCACGCTAATCCTCAACAAAACGAGAAAAACGAGAGATCTTTTTTTCAGACACTTAACTTACATAGTACTCAACTTTCTCATGTTGAAAAAAAGACTGTTCCGTTAAGCGACAGAAATACTCAGATAAGTAAGAGAGGAATACTATCAATGCTAACATCAATTATTAACAAACATCGATAAACATGAATAGGTTAATACATCATTAAAAGCTCAAGCAAGAGTACAACTTCGAATTCTAAATATTGAAATCGAATTCTATAGTCATTTATTAACATGATTCAGTTAGATTCCAAATATTGCGTTAACGAATATTAAATGTAATTCGTTTACAGAAGCGAAAACAAAAGCAAATTAATGTAAATCTAAGCATTTCAAATATTAGACTAAAAAACGCCCGAAATGACGTGTACTGTGAGACTCACAAAAATATAGCCCTAATAATTCTCTCTTACATCCCTAGACAAAATCTTACGCACTTCCTGTTTGTTTCCTGCTGGGACCTTACAAGATCCTAACATGTAGGGTTCATCTTATAACTTCCTAGCAGGATCCTAATATTTTAGGATTCTACTAGAATTTTGAATAAATTTGTTTATGATCCTAAGGGAGCCGTAGAAAATTCGATGACTTTCGAGTATACCTAATTTCATTAAGATTCTGTAGGATTTTCTTAGGATCCTAAGAAATTAAAGCGTGATCCTAGTAGAATACTGGTAGACTATGTCTCGGATCCTGTATGGAAACTCAAAGGACTTTTAGTACGGACATGTGGATGCTGAGCACTTTGCTCTACAAAATGCAACAAAATTCATATTCATATTCTTGGTTCTTATATGCAAGAGATATTGCACGTGGGTAGCCGAACACATGGTTGAAAAAATATCCGGAAATACTAAAGTTGGTGAGAAATGATAGTTTTTCGATACACCCAAACATATTTCTATACTACATAATACTCTGTATAACTTTTTTTGAACCGGTTTCAAGTGGTTCTCCTGACACAGACTTCCATTTATTTAAATTCTTCTATGGAACCAGATGAACAAAATCAAAAGCTAAATTTCGACGGCTATAAGCCTTAGGCTACAAGATCGGTTTTCTGATGAAACAGATGAATGACGAAGACAACTTGAAGAAAGATGGTATGAAGTATCAAGTTACGTTTGAACAAGGTACATCGAATGAAATTAGCCTCGTTGATCATTGGTACAGTGCAGAGACATATGAAAGAGCGTTTAAACAAGCTGGATTTAAGTTATTTGAATGGATACCTGTTCAATTAGGTGAACATAAAGAGGAAGAGTATTTAATTGATTCAGTTGACAGCAACGGTGTTATTGGATTTTAGAATGGCGTAAAAAAATTATTAGCGAGACTGACTTGTACTTTCATCTTTCCTATTGTTATATATATTCGGATTCCGCGTGAAAAACTACATCGAGTGATGTATCACCTATTAGTTTTACGAATAAGAAATTGTTTGACAAAAATTCAGGGCAAGGGTCCCCCTCAGACATTTTTCATCGGAAAAGAATGTTTTTTCGAATGTGACTTTTCTTACGTCCATTAAAATTTGACACATAATAAGACAATATTATGCGAAAATAATCATTTTTCAACGCATAAAATCAGATGCTCATAAAACCGGCTCTATGGAAAAGTGCCCACTGCCATGTGGTCATATCTAATCTTCGAAAGGGAAATAGTGCATCTGTGTCCAACCATATCTGTCAATGTACAAACTTTTTCTCAACCTCTAGATACATTTACTCACTATATTGATAAAAATAAAACTCAAAAAACAAAACCAACCAAAGAGGATCTGTCATTGTTAGTAGAAAGAGGCAATCGAGAAACTTCTCTATAAACCTATATCTTCGTTTTCTTTCGTTTTCGTAGAGTAAGTTGGGATAATTCGAGACAGCATCTCTACTTTTTACAGCATTTTGAGCGTACATGGAGCATTTTTACTTGGGAAAAAACGACACTTCGCAGGTGGATTGCCCGAACAGTTCTCTGCCTACTAATGTAAAAATTTTATTGAAGTTCAATATGATTAATTACTACTCATCAATTTCCAGAGAGCTCCTGTCAAATGTCCCGAACTACCCCAAATGGGGTAATTTAGGCAGTCAGGGTGTCTCGCTGGAGTAATTCGGGACAGTCCAGCAAAAATGGCTGGAAGAAAGTAAAACAACCTTTTTTCAACTGCAAAGTTTTACCTTTCTAATTAAAAATTATACTATCTTGTAGAGAATTTTGAGCTCTATCTACCTTGTAAATTGCTAGTCCTTTGGACATATCCCTGATTAATTAATTAGAAATTGCGAAAATGAACGCACATAGTCGTTTTTTTATTTTTCTTGCTTGGGACAATTATGGACACTCAGCTATTTTGCATGGGGTAATTCGGGACAGTTTATGCAAATCGCACGGAATAGACAGAAAACAATTTCTGCTGTCTTTTAGAAACCGATTTTGATACCATGCTACACAATTGTTCAGAATCATGAGCTCTATCATATATGTAAAAACCGAATAGAAAAAATGTATTTTCATCGTTTTCTGTAAAGAATATGAATACTGTTGTTTTTGAATGGTCTTTTGTACATTAAAATTAAGAGAAAAATTAAATTAGAACCTTAATTGGCAATACGGTGACGAACAAGTTCAAATTTTCATAAACCTTGTACAACTCTCGTCACGTTACATCAAACGTTTTTTAAAAACAGCCCACCTAGCGTCAACTATTTTCCAATGAATAGTCAAGACTCGGGATTATATCTCAACACAGTTGGTAGTATATCAGTATAAAATTTGTTTTATTACAATTTCTGCGCTTTTTGCTGGGTCGATATTTCAACGGAGACTTGGCACTAATCGACAACATTATGGAAAATGTTGAGCGAATTCTGTACGAAGTTCTAGTGATATGAGAGCTGATGCGACAGACAGTTCTTAGAATTGGAGGTGAAAATATAACAATTGCTTAATAGCTTGAAACTAAATCACTCAAATTTCAAAAAAAGAAATGCTATTCTCATTACTGATTTTAAAAAGATGCAAGATAAAAAAAGTTTTTCCTGAAGGGCCCTAAATCAATACAACGTTGTTTGGCTCTTGTCTCTCTAGTTAATGCTGCTATAAAGATTTTGTATGACACGCAAAAAGGCATCAAAAGTCGAAGACAAAGATTCTGATTGAGCAAAAATTTTCCTTTATATTCACCGTAGAAGACTAAAAGAATCTAAATGCCAGGTCGAGTAAAAAAATGCTCGACACCTATAAGTACAGAGGAAACACTGTTATTCCTTACACTCTCAGTAATCTTACACTCGCTTCTACGCATCTTAATCCCTTGAACATACTTTGAAAAAGGCCAAGTGCCTCGTTATTCAAATGAAGACTTTCAACTTGCACTCAAAGGAAAATACTGAAGGCAATAATATTCGTGCTACTGCAAAGAAATACAATATTCCAAAATCAGCGTTACATTCTCATCATTTTTCACAAACATCTCATGGCGCTGAACATACAACTCATTTTACAGAACTTCAAGAAATTTATTTGGTTAGTGCTGCACCTGTACTTCAGGTAAGTTTGTGAACGAAGACATTCCTCAAGTTTTAGATTTTTTCATCTTTGTTTAGGAATGGGGAGAACCAGTAACACCAAAGGAACTGATTAAAATGGCGACACATTATGCTCAAGAATTAGGAAAAGATATGTCATTTCAGAATGGCAAACCGGGCAATGAGTGGTATTATTCTTTTATGGTACGTCATGCAGAATTGAAAACAGCTACACCTATCCCTCTTACATCAAAACTTGCGAAGATGACAATGACCACAATCAACAAATGGTTTAAATTATAAGTCACTATTGTCTTATACCAGTTGTAGTCTTTGATCAAATCACCTTCACATTCACCGATGATTGTTTCAATGTACTTTCGTTCAGCCTGTATTGTGTGAAATCCTAAATCCCATATATGCTCGACCATTGCCGGAACGGATCCCACAGTATACAGCAGTCGATCACGATTAGACAGGTGTTGTATTTCATAATGACCAATCGACAAATCGACCTCATTTGGATCAACATCATTTTCATGTGATCCGAATTACATGCACCCAACAGGACAAGATTGTTCGGCAATCATTTTCCTAACAATGTTCGTTCAAAAGTGATCTCTTTAATGAGACTAATATTTTCTGTTGTACTAAATTCATTAAAAAATATCCACAAATGTTTGGATGCAATGAATGTGTTGGCTTTGAATAATTAATTGTTCCATTTTGGTAATGATTTGTATATTTGTCAAAACCGGCATGACTACGTGATACCTTCAATTCATCATCGAGAAATTTTCGACATAAAAAATAATCAATACAAAGGCAAGATTTTTTGGTGAAATTGATTATTTAGGCAGCTGTAGCTTTGTACTTAGATTCTCTGGCAGTTGTAATTTTATAAAAAAGTCTTCCGTGGGCGGCGAGAGTGCGCGTTTTTCAAATTTTGGATTTTTCCCACTTTTAACCATGTCGGACTTTTTTTTTCATGATTTCTACCAATGAAAAGTAAGCTCGCACCTAGCAACATGTCTGTACTCGAGCTACTTATGGTTATTTTATTCATAAAGGTAGGATTATAAGTAGCCGGCAGGAGAGGTGGTTATTTTACGGATAATGCCGCCTATCTCGGTAGCGGAAAAGACCTGAGCAGCGATATTTTCGAATTAGTCGTGTCCTTATGCTAATAAGTAACTTGCAAAAAAGATTTTTCTATTAAGTTTCTTAATATTGCCATCAGGTGCAACAAAGAATAAATAAACAGTTAGAAAAAGACAATAGTGTGAAGAAAAGTGTTGTCGTGTATGTTGAAACACAAATATTCACTCCAACAAGAAAATGAATAGTATTAACATCTTTGCTTGTTTCTTTTCTGCAGGAAACGATATCATCTGTCAATGCCTTTGAGTCGCTTTTTCAGAGATCCTCTCTACCGCCTTCAGTTAAAGTGTTTTGCTAAACAGAATATTTCGACAGAGAGACTTTGCCGAAGACAATCAAGTAGAAATCCTTTTCTAATGAACAAACATGAAAAACTACTTAGATAATTTGGGTGAAACAGTTGTGCTGCTTTGCATACAATACTCTGTTTCATTATGAGATTTATTTAGATCAGAAAGAAAGTATTTAACAATACTATAACTCCAATGTCCAACAAGGGTATAATTTTTATTAATGACACCAGATGAAATACCACATTTAATTAAAGATATAACAGATTCTAATGTTGATGCAAGTGGTGGAATAGATCTATAATCATCAATAACAGCGATGCCTGAAAACAAAAACAAACAAGTTTAAAATATTGTCTCTCTCTATTTTCAAAACATGCATACCAATGGATTTTGAATTATACGTTTTACAATGTGCACCCTCATATTTCCACCCTCTACCTTCAAATATGTAACCATTACCACCAATTAAGAAATTATAACCAATATCATCCCATCTATTTTCAATCATATGAATTCTTTGATAACGTTGTATTTTTAATATACAAGAGTTAGAATTATTACATGGGCCACCGGTGGCCCACCGGTGGCCCTAACATATTACGATGGATTGATCTGATTATTGTTACTTTGAAAATTGAGACAGTTTGGAATGAATTTCAAAACGGTTTTGTTCGTTAGGAGAATAATGGTTATTTCAAAAGCTACACATAACGATAATCCTAACAAATATAAGCGATAGAGTTCAATGGGAGGTAACGTATTACCTATAGCATTCATATAAGTCAGTACAATATATGGTACTGAAGTTGCTCTCAAAACATTAAGGACAATAACCGTTCGTTTTAATAGCGTCATACTTCGTTTTCGTGCGTGAGTTGCTGCTGGTATCTTTGATCGATAGTTGACAATATAAAAGTAGAAAAATGTGACACACGTTATGGGTGTTAAGAATGAAATGATGGCCACTAAAAACGATGGTAAAGTGCGTTTGGAAGTTGCTTGAATGTGTACAGTATAATCGAAACGTGCGAGTTAGCGGAGTTGCAACCTCACTTGTTTTTACGCCAAAATGTTCCTCAGATCATTCTGAATCTATATTCATCTCACAAAATCTCACAACTTTTTCTGCAAATAGTTATAGGTTTTACAAAAACTCCTGGTTTTCCAGCTAAAATTGACTTTTCTCGCCCTAGAAGTAATATTTGCAGACAACTAATACATTTTCGAATCAGCGTGAAAAACTGCATCGAGCGATGTATAATAATATAAATTTAAGTGTAAATTTAAGCAAAGGTTTTCAAAGGTTGTCACATAAATTTTGCCAAGACAAGAGAAAACCTCTGTTATTATTTTATTTCTGCTTCTTCACACACTGTTCTATTCTTATTTTCTCACATTTCCATAAAACGTGACAAAAAATTGATTTGAGCAGAACAAGTTGAGTTTTCATTCAGTTGTTGAATTTTCATCTAATATTAAAAAATTCACTATTCGCTCAAAAAACATCAGAACGAGTTCAAAACTTCAGAATGCAGAGTATTTAAGCTATTCTATATTCTATTTAGAGGAGATCTTGAACGAAATTTTACAAAACTCTAGGGTTTTCCAAAAGGGTTTTGGAAAACCTATTAAGAAAAATATGCTTTTCGATTTTTTCGATCTTATACTTACATTTAGCGGACAATATTAATCATATCCGGAGGTTTTGAGCTTGTTCTGATGTATTTTGAGTGAATTTTTTAATATTAGATGAAAACAACGTGGAAACCCTAATTTTCGTAAAACTCGCTTTTCGGTAGATTTTTAATATTTTTTCGAGCTTTCTTTGCAAAGTTATAGAGTTTACAAAAAAAGCCCTAAATTCATTTTTCGTTTTTCTTTCTGTAGCTTTGAGATGACAATGAACATTTGGGGCTTTTCTTGTAAACTCTATAACTTTGCAAAGAAAGGTCGTGTAGAGCTGAGAGATGCCTCGTCTTAATCAGAAATTTATGGACTACAATTACGCCTCATTAAGAAAGCTTTGGGTTGTTGTTTAGAGTTTCTCGAAAACTCGTTTTCCAGAAGACCGGTCTTTGAAGGCCTAGCAGCAGCATTCATGGTGATATTCGGGATCAGTATCGTCGACTTCCTATAGTCCACTCGGTTTCGTTGAAAAAGCGATTTATCAGTTGGGGTACTTCCCTCGTGTGTTTCCGACTTCTAGCATGAAACTGCGCTTTGTCCAAAGAAAAACCTTTCGGTGCCCGGATTTGTAGTCTTTGATTAAAAAATTTTGAAGTTTTTTTCGGGTTTTCTGCTGTATTTTTAACATTTCAATAACAGCTTCAGTTTTCAAAACAGCTGCATTAATAATCAAGTTTTTGATTAATAAGTCGTTGCCCGCAACGCATATTATTGAAGCTTCAGTTTTAAATATGAAGAGTTGAGTCTAGCGTAGTTCGATAGAGAACATTAAGGCGAGGATTCCCCAATTTAGATTTTTCTTTACCGTTCCCAGTTTGTAGAAGACACTTCGAAGTATATGTCCTGAAGTTTTTTCGGCTTACTGGCATTATCTGGCTGAGAAAAAAATTAATTAATTAAAAAAATATTCTTAACTTTTTGAACAAGGGATTATTATTAAAAAAATTTCTGCCCATCCTCACTTGCACTCCATGTTTCTTCAACTAACTCTTTCTTTTTACAGACCACAAGAGAGAGCACATCGTTCAAAACTACAAAAAGAACGGAGTTTTCACTTTTGCAACCCTGTTTTACAGAAATAATAGCAGAAGAAAAAGGTCCAAGTGGAGAAAATACCAGATTTTCAAAGTTTTCATTTGTTTCGTCTTTCGTATAGTCTGCATAGTTTTCTTCATTGAAGTTCTGAAATTAAAGTTTAGGTATGGTTGTGTAGAGTAATTATTGGTCTAGTCTGAAACAAATAAGCTTCGCACGTACTCTTTCTCAAATATTTCAGGAACGGGCTGTTCATTTAATGATCTCTCACGATCACGCGAATTAATTTCAAAAGCCATTGCAATCAGTTTATATGCTCCACAGAGTAGTGTACGCTTAAAGTCAGACTGATTACGTAAAAACCATCATAATCCTACAGTTGCATGAAAAGCATGTACCCCCCCACCCCCATAATAGAAGCCTCCCCCATATTAGAAGCCCTCCCGTATTAGAAGCCCCCTCTGGAGGAACTGATGTGGAGGGTGTATTAGAAGCCCAAGGACTTCTATTACGTCGGAAAATTCAGTTTTTTAAACGACACATTTGATCGACACGCGTTTTTTTACTTTAATTGTTCTTGTGTGATGTCGTGTGTAAAAAAAGGAAACGAATAAAATTTACATTTTTTATCTCGAAAAAGATTTTTTTCAGAT